TTTTTGTCTCTTGCATTTTGGGGACTTTTAGTACATTCTAGTCTTAAAACTTAAGATGGAAAAATAACTCCGTGCAGAAGTTATTCGGTAATTATTATTCCTATTTTTCTAACATACATTTATTCTTGATTACATGCCACTCTTGATATTATTCCTATCTTTCTAATACATATTTATTCTTGATTGTATGCTGTTCTGTGATTATATATTATTCACAAAAATAATACTATGAATATTGTTTTTAAATTGGGCTCATCTGAAAGCTTTTTGTTTAGCCATATGGAACTCTTTAGATGATTCTTCTTTCTCGCTGGTATCATTCATGATTACAGTTAGAATTTCATATATTATATACTTTCCTCTTTTTAATTATCTACATTCTCATTTAGAACATCTCTAGTCTTAACACTATCCAAAAAATTTTTTAATTGGTTTTCCAAGAGTATATAACACATATTTGGATATATCTAGTAATTACTTCCCTTCTTATGAACTTACAGAATGCATGGTCACCTCCCAGGGTTCCTGACACTTTCACATTCATAGACAAATAAAACTAAAATTAAGAGCAAGACAGTACTTTCCTTCATTATTTCCTCTATCACATATAATATGAAATTTCAAGCCCCTACAACAATATTTCATCCTATACCAATTGATTATATAGTTTAACATTTGAGTAATTTAACAGTTGTTCTACTGTTTGCTTCATGTGTCTGAATCTTGCTTCCTTAATATAACTTAAGTTCAGTGAAAGCAAAATACTACTATGGAGTATTATTCTGCCTCTCACAATACTTGGTACAATGCTAGTCATACAAAAGATGCTATGAGAAAACCACTTTCTGATTGGAATAAGGGTCATTATATACCTTTCATTACAGATAAACAGTGGTCACTAAATGATCCAAATAAACTTCAGCATGAAGCACCCCATTAAGCCAAGGTTAAAATATGAGCAAGGGATCAAATCACAGGAAAGCAATGCAAAGAAGCTTTTTTTAAAAAATTTTTTTAATGTTTATTTATTTTTGAGAGAGACAAAGACAGAATGAAAGTGGGTTGGGGCAGAGAGAGAGGGAGGCACAGAATCTGAAGTAGGCTCCAGGCTCCATGCTGTCAGCACAAAGCCTAACGCAGGGCTTGAACTCACAAGCTGTGAGATCATGACCTGAGTGAAGTCGGACGCTCAACCGACTGAGCCACCCAGGCGCCCCAAAGAAGCCTTTTATTTGGGCTTAGGTAAACCGTGAAAAGATGTGATATAGGAATCAAATACTTCAAAAGAATTCTGGCTCCACCCTAACAAATTTTTCTTTTTTCAAATTGTCTACATACCTTATAACATCGTGTATGGCAAGGCACTTTAAGGTCAGAACTACAGATGTCAAACTAGTTCTCTTGATCTCAGGGATCACATGGTCAGGCATACACTGGTTCCAAAAATCTTTACTATAGATCCGAAAGCATTTTCCTGAGGAAGTCCTGCCAGCTCGGCCACTTCGCTGTAACGCCTCACTCCTTTAAAAGGAAAAAACAAAACAAAACACAAAAGTCCCCAAAACATACTGCAGGTTTCCTAAGTAGTTAACATCATACCCCCAAGCCAGCTAGAAATGATCTAATAAACTGTTCTCTGAATAAAAAAGCTTTAGAGACTTACTTTGAAATTGGAACCACCTCCAGGATATCCAACCCTAATCTGGGATTGTGATTTAACTGCTTCACAAAGCCACCATCTACCACATATCTAAGAGGAATGAAAAAGTTATGTTTTTAGAAAATAAGGAAAGACTTGTTGCATTTTGGTCACTTTGTATTCTCCTTTTCTACCAAACTAACAACTACATAATGACTTTTATGTTAAACGTAAAACTTGAAAGTCAAGAAACTGCAACCCTGTACATCACTAATGGGAATATGGTTAAGCCAATGTGCAAAACAGTTTAAAGTTTCCTCTAAAGGTTTAACAGAATTACCACATTATTGAGAAACTGCATTCTTAAGCGTATACCCAAAAGAACTGAAACAAGTACTCAACCAATGTTCGTAGACATATTTTCATAGAAGCACTATTCGTAAGAGCCCAAAGGCAGAAATAACCTAAATGTCCATTAGCCATTAAGGGATAAATGGATGAACAAATTATGGTATATACATGTAATGGAATATTATTCAGCCATAAAAATGAATGAAGTGCTGATACATGCTACAATGTGAATGAACCTCTCAAAAGCATATGAGTGAAAGCAAGACATATTGTATGACTCCTTATAGATAAAATATCCAGAATAGGATTTCATAAAAATAGAAAATACACTGGTGGTTGCCAAAGGCTAGAATGGAGGAGGGCATGGGGAGTAATTTGCTTAAAGGGCACAGGGGTAATAAAAATGTTTCAGAAGAGAAAGAGTTAGTATTAGTTGTAGTACATCATAGAAGTACTAAATACTAACTATTCACTTTTAACTGTTAATTTTATATTATGTGAATTTCTCCTCTAAAAAACAAACCTGAAAGTCACCTCTAGACCAACAATACCATTTAAGTCAATTAAACAGAGAACAAGTCGAGTAAAAAACTAAGTTAGGAGTAATAGCAGGTTTACCATTCACTAATGGAACATTCCAAAACACACTATTTAATGACTTTTGCCATTGCTGGAAACAGAAAATTGCAGAGGTTAACTTACTTCAGACAACTGCTCTCTTAAGCCCTTAGTGAAACCATTATTTTTAAAGTAAAGAAGAAAAGAAAAGAAAATTAAACTGCCTCTCAGATCTGATCATTTTACCCAAAAGAAATATATACAATCTTTGAGATTCACATCCAGCCTTCCTATAGCAAGCAGGACATAAAATATTAGTCAAGGACATAAAATATACTGGATTAAAGATAAATACCCAAAAGGGCTGTGGGTTAACAGTCTGAAAGAACTTCACATTAACCATCAGTCTAGATTTAAATTTTCCAAGTGTTTCTCCACTAAATTTACTCAAAAATTTGATGTATTATTGATTACATAAAAAAATAAGAGACTCGCAGGGCACCTGGGTGGCTCAGTTGGTTAAGCGTCCAACTTCAGCTCAGGTCATGATCTTGCGGTTCAGGGGTTCAAGCCCCACGCTGGGCTCTGTGCTGACAGCTCAGAGCCTGGAGCCTGTTTCAGATTCTGTGTCTCCCTCTCTCTCTGCCCCTCCCCTGTTCATGCTCTCTCTCTCTCTCTCAAAAATAAAAATAAGAAACATTTTAAAAAAAGATAAGAGACTTGCATTGTAGTTCATTTCACAAAAAGGTGAAAAGTGAGAAACAGTACCTTCAGAAAAACACTTGGATATACAACACTTACTCCACCAAGTGAAAGTGTCAGATGAGAAAGGAATATCAGATCATCTTAGGTATAGGCTGATAATGAGCAGAGACAAATAAAAATAGCTTTGGTTTTCTATCTAATGAATAATGAAACCTGTGAAACATTACGTATCATCTTAAATTTTGGAAGAGAAAGCTACAAATTGCCAAATAAAAGTAGTTAAAAAGTATACTAAAAGTATACTGTGTACCTCCTACTCTATTTTCTAACCATGGCAATCAATAATTACAAAAAAGTGATAGGTGATTACAAGTATGTGAGGAAATTAGTGTATGACACAGAGGAGGAAACACAAAATTAAGTGGCTTCCTTAGCTTTAAAAGAAAACTTAGGGGCACCTGGGTGGCCCAGTCAGTTGGGCACCCAAATTTGGCTCAGGTCATGATCTCGTGGTTCATGAGTTCGAGCCCCACATTGGGCTCTGTGTTGACAGCTCAGAGCCTGGAGCCTCCTTCAGATTCTGTGTCTCCCTCTCTCTCTGCCCCTCCCCTCCCCGCACTCTATCTCTCAAAGATGAATAAAGATTAAAAAAAAAATTTTTTTAAAGAAACCTTAAAAGTTGTACCTGATTCCATCTATTGTCAAAGATGTTGCAGAAATATTGGTGGATATGACACATTTTCTAATTCCAGGTGGAGGTGGCAAAAATATTCTCCTCTGCTGATCTAAAATACACATAAAGAGAAAATGTAAATTTACAATATGCATTTGTCAAACTCCACTTTTGAGAAACTTACTTCTTTTCATTAAAAGTTACGTTTCCTTGGGGCGCCTGGGTGGCGCAGTCGGTTAAGCGTCCGACTTCAGCCAGGTCACGATCTCGCGGTCCGTGAGTTTGAGCCCCGCGTCGGGCTCTGGGCTGATGGCTCAGAGCCTGGAGCCTGTTTCTGATTCTGTGTCTCCCTCTCTCTCTGCCCCTCCCCCGTTCATGCTCTGTCTCTCTCTGTCCCAAAAATAAATAAACGTTGAAAAAAAATAAAATAAAATGGGGTAGATTTTAAGATTTAAAAAAAAAAAAAAAGTTACGTTTCCTTCACCTCTTTAATTATCTTGAATTCAAAACAGCAAAACTTATCTTTGCCTCCTCACCTCTTGCTGCTAAGATTTCTAGATCCATTAAATCGCAGATTATTATTGCTAAAATAAACTACAGCAGGGTCCTTTTATGTAGGTCATAGTTCCCTTTGAGAATATTTTAAAAACTGTGGCCCTCTTCTCCATTAAAAGACACATATATACACACATACAAAAATTTCAAATAATTTCAGCGTGTTCAGGGATTCTCTGAAGCCCATCCATGGATGACACATTAAGGACCTCTCTCTGCCTTAAAGACTGATTAGCTAGGTGGTTTTTACTTTTTAGGGAGTCTTTCTGATTACTCATGGCTACCTCTCTAAGCAAGTAACACCATACTCCTTCCCCTTAGCCATACATTCTAAAGGATGAACCCAAGCAGTAATGCTTGTAGTACTGTACCTTGTTCCTCCAGCCATAGTTTATGGCACCAAAGATAAACATCTCCCCCCAAGCTGGGGCAATCTGAATCTCCTGGAATTTGGAATAAGGTCCAAAAGATGCCAATTTGATTAGGCTACTCTCTGGCAAAGATGAAAAATAAACTTGTGAACCATACAGAACTGGTTAATATACATGGAGGAAAGTCTAAAAGGAGAAAAGAATGAATTAGCCACGAGAGTTGACAAGAGAGTACTTCTGGGCTCCTGGCACTTCCCAGGCCTTAAAAGGACTGGGTGTAAAATAAGTAGCAGACAGATTTGGCCAGACTTGCTCTCTTGCAAGGTTAAGCACAAAATAAGACAAGAGAGTTAAGTATGTTTGCAAGGGAATGATTATAGTATGGGTGAAAGAAGATAAGTGACAGTTGATAAAGGACAGGTGTCAAAGCATTCTGAAACCTGTTGGATTAGAAACAGTGGAGTGTCTGGCAAAAATATAGGAAGTAGTCATCAGAAAGATGTTTAAAACTGCGATCAGGGGCGCCTGGGTGGCGCAGTCGGTTAAGCGTCCGACTTCAACCAGGTCACGATCTCACGGTCCGTGAGTTCGAGCCCCGCGTCGGGCTCTGGGCTGATGGCTCAGAGCCTGGAGCCTGTTTCCGATTCTGTGTCTCCCTCTCTCTCTGCCCCTCGCCCGTTCATGCTCTGTCTCTCTCTGTCCCAAAAATAAATAAATGTTGAAAAAAAAATTTAAAAAAAAAAACAAACAAAAAAAACTGAGATCAGAAATGATGGTAATGATAAAGTCTAAGATAGAAGCTTCTGAATGGGTGGCTGAGGTGGGGTAAAGAAAAAGATCACTTAAGCTATAGAAATCAAGGAACTCTGAAGCAAGGAATCTGAGTGGATCACTGTATTTCAATAATTTCCAAAAATTAGGAGTGATTATGCCAGTGAGTACACAAGTCAATCCACTGGGGTATGAAAAGAAATTATTAGCATTTCTATCTATAGTTTCTATAACATCTTTTTAAACTGTTATATGTATTTACTATTGTACATTATATATTAGAACAATAAGTACATATACATACACCTTAAGGAAAAAAAATTAAACACCTGGCTGTATTAGTTTTACATGAGATATGCCCATATGTGTTTAGAAAAGTCACCTTTTCTACCTGAGCAATCTCAAATTGTTTTCCTTTCCGTAGCCAAGAAAATCTTACAAAACCTGCTTTGAAATAATAAAGTACAAAACCTGTTCTCAAATAAAATCTTTCAAAGATCCATGTATTCCCAGTATATGTAACAGACCAAAGCTAAACTACTATTATAAGGGAGAAAAGGAGTGCACACACAAAAAAAGGAGTGGCACAGATGAACAGTTTTAAAATCATGGAACTAGGCCAGCCATTTCATTTTACAGATGAGAAAACTAAATCCCAGAGAGGTCAAGTGACTTGCCAAGATTTACATACAGACAAACAAATTTGAAACAAGTAATGTTGCTTTTCTTCCACATTATTCAGAATTTAATTTCACAAGTAAAAAAAGTGCTAGAAAGGCAGCTTATAAATCTGTGGGGAAATTTTGAGGTGAATACAAAAATAATTCCAAAAAGATCTACTTCTTTTAGATTTATAGTTTTTTGGTAAAAAACTTAAGTGTTAAGAATAATTTTTTAGGTATTAGATTTAGGTAGCTCATTTCTTCCAGATGGTTCAAACGAGTTGTATACTACTTTGTAGTTCAAGTTATATGTTTATACATTATTTATGGTCTATTTATTCTGCTACAATGTAGCTCCATGAAAGCAAGGACTTTCTTTTGTTCAAGACATATATCCCCCACTACACAGAACAATGTCTGGACCATAGAAAGTGCTCAAAAAAGTCCAATAAACTGATAAATTAAAAATGCATTATATAAATAATAAATTAAGATCCTTCTACCTTTAAAATTCCTCACTACCCTAAAACTTTACATAAATGTTTACATTTTTTACATGTTTATTTATTTTTTAGAGAAAGAGAGACAAAGCACGAGTAGGGGAGGGGGAGACAGAAGGAGACACAGAATCTGAAGCAGGCTCCAGGTTCTGGGCTGTCAGCACAGAGCCTGACACAGGGCTTGAACTCATGAACCATGAAATCATGACCTGAGCCGAAGTGGATGCTTAACTGACTGAGCCACCCAGGTGCCCCAAAACTTTACATAAATTAAAAACATCCTTTCTGAACATATTTATCTCTAATCAAATCTGTTTTTCAATCAACCCATTTCTAAAAATATCTAATTTTTAAGTCTTCAGTTCAAGCAAAATTTCAGTTTCATTTACCATTTTGTTCACTATAATCAATTAAAAAGTCTTGAAACTGCTGTTTTGACAAGACTCACATTTATTTCATTTACATTTCATCCACTTTATTTTCTTTAATTTTTATTAAGCTTATGTATTTATTTTGAGAGAGCATGTGTGTGTACGTGGAACTGGGGGAGGGACACAGAGAGAGAGGGAGGGAGGGAGAGAGAGAAATTCCAAGCAGGGTCTACACTGTCAGCGCAGAGCCCCATGCAGGGCTCGATCTCACAAACTGTTGAGATCATGACCTGAGCCAAAGTCGGACGCTCAACCGAGCCCCCCAGGTACGCCTAACCCACACACTTTAATACCATATTCCACAAGGATAAACACATACTAGGTTTTTTTTAAGTTTATTTTTTTTAGTAATCTCTACACCCAATGTGAGGTTTGAACTCATGACCCCAAGATCAAAAGTCACATCCCCTTCCGACTAAGCCAGCCAGGCACCCCAACACATACCACTTTTATGTTGGTTTATAAAGATTTGGAAAAAAGTTAAATACATATATCTTAAAGCACATTCTCACTCTCCAGGAAGGAAAGGGGAAATGGAATACTTTCATTAGGATGTAATAAAGTACTAGGATGTTATTAAGGGGGGAGGGGGGCACTGGCAAAGAGGCAAAAAAGATACTCCAAAGTCTACCAAGAAATGAAGATACCGAGAGATCACTCAATACTCATAATGGAGTAACACTCCTAGAATATGTGCATATGACATATTATATGTCAAGGCCAACTGAAACTTCCTCATAGAATTTCTTGTCCCAACTTCCCCCAAGATTCCAAACCAGAACTATTTCTGAGAGTGAGACAGACAGAGAAGGAGAGAAAGAGAAGGAAAAGAACATAACCTAAAGTAATAAACATAAACCATCAATCAATGGGGGAAAAGATGATGATTCTGGAGAAGAAAGAGGCATAACACTGCTCAGTTCTAACTCTACCCCTCCCCCAAGAAGTCATTTTTGGGTGAGTCAGAAATATCGAGAATTCTCACTAACAGCTGAAAATCAAACTCTCGACACCAAAAAAAGGCCTGAGATAATCAGTAAATGCAACTGAAAAAGTAACTAGGAGGAAGTTAAAAAATATGGATGACAGGCAATCCAACATAAGAATAATTGATATCCCTGAAATACAGAAACCAATAGATAGATAAAAATTATAGTCACAGATACAACGCTATAGAGTCTCCATGAAATAAAGGTTTGAATTTGCAGATTAAAACAACACATCATAAAAGTTCATGTTTATGGTTGGTCGTCATTACATGGGTACATACGTTTGTCAAAATTCATTGAACTGTCTATTTAAAAACCAGCAGTTTATTCTATGTAAATTATACCTCAATAAAGTTGATTTTTTTAAGAAAGCACATCAAATTCCAGGAAATTTTAATATAAAACACTCAACACCAAAAAATATCCTAATTAAAACCACTGAACTTTAAAAATAAAGAGAAATTTCCAGGCAATCAGACAGAAAAAGCAAATGACTTACAAGGAAGGGAAAAAAAATCAGGCTTGGCCTCAGACTTCTCTGCAGCAACATTCAATGCCAGAAGACAACTGGACAACGTCTACCAAGTTCTAAGGAAAAGAAAGTGTGACCCAAGAACATAAAACCCAGCCATGATGTAGTTCAAGTATAAAGGCAAAAGCCGGACATTCTCAAACATAAAAAAATAACAACAAAAAATAACACGTAAGAGCCCTTTTATCTATTAACAAAAAAAAGCTTAAAAAATCCAGGCAATCTAAAATTAACCAAAAGTAACTTGAGAATAGAAAAACCAGGGGCATCTAGGTGGCTCAGTCGGTTAAGCATCTGACTT